AGACTAATTTTTGCTCATTGGGGTGTTTTGGACATCTGCTACCAGAAACTTTAACTGAGATGATAAAATATTAAGGCTAGATTTTCTACATGCAAACCAGGTCTTCAGCTTTACCATTGATCTCCTGCCTATATGTCTTGTGTTGTCTTGGTCCTACTCAGTTATAGTCCTACAGCCTCTGACCAGCTACAGGGATAAACAAACATTTTGGACACAAGGGCACATCTGGCAATATGTCCTGTCCGCTACCATAAAATAGTTGCCATGGAGACACATAGACTACTCTAAAGACTGAGTACAAGTCAGAGGTGGGGCCTGAGTCCAAATGCACAAAACTCCTTTGGACCTTGTATTCAGAGCAGTATAGAAACCCACACACAAACACACTCACCTCTCTAACTTAATGCTGCTTTTCCTTGTCACTTCCCACCCACAAAACAGATGTGATTTCTTTTTTCATTTCTCTTTGGCAGCTGCCAGCCAATGCTTCCCTCTGCAGCACTGTCAGCCACCAACTATTTAGTTCCAAACCTGTGGGCTAGAGGCATTTATGGGAAATAAAGATGGCAGCGGCTGAGGGCCCACACTTTGCTATGAAGATTCACAGTTGCCAGTAAGGAAATGTGTTATTTTATGAAGTGGGGGCCACATGTGACTTTAGCGGGCACTTATAAAAGGTGTCTAGGAGCTCATTGTGTCTACAGGTGCCACATTGCCTACTGCTTCTTTCTATCCACTTGAGCCACTAACAAACTACAGTAAATAGAAACAGACAGTGTGATTTCATAAAAGGCAGATGGTTTGAGGCTTCTTCAAGAGGAATGTTCATGGATTTTTTAGCTGGAGCCATTGAGGCTTGTAAGACCTGCCCTTTTGGTGACCCTTGTTACAATATATGGAATTCTAGGGAATTTCTGACAGGCTGGTGACATACAACCGTGGTCAGCAGGGTGAAACAGTGCATCCCCCTCTTCTTTGCCAGCCAGTAATGAATCTTTCTTCAACATTACTAAGTGGGTGAGGCAGAAGTATCCAGGAAACTGGAAGCAACTCATCTGTACTCAGGGAAAGAAATTCTACTACCTCTGCCTTGAGATTGATATATTTTATATCTTGTGTCCATCAATATTACTTCTTTTCATCTACCTCCTGGTACTTTGCTTTCCTACTGCTTGACTTGCATTGGCTACTCCCTTAAGTTTATTTTCTCACTGGAATTTACAAAACAATGTTGTTGGCTAGCAACAGATGCAAGACTACTGAGCTTCCAGAGAGAAAGCGGATCTCCTGTGTACATATATTAACATAAGGAATGCATATCCAGGAGTTTCTGCTGCAATTCATGTTTATGTTTTCTAAAATTGCTAGCAATCTACCTATGTGAGAAGCAGAGTTTTAAGGCACACAGATGGAGGGGGATGATGACTTGATAGAGGGGTGTCTTCTTCATACCCCTTCCTGTGTGTAGGTATGACATGCTTTTTCCACAGCTGGGAGGATTGGAATCTCTGAGAATTTGAGCATCATTTTCTGGTACCCTGAACAAGAACATTCCTGTTGCAGCAGGGGTGGGGTGCTGGATACACTGCAATATTTAATAATGGTAGACTTGCTTGTAGATTTAGAATGTGTTTTAATGGATACAGATCTGAAAACATAGTATTCTCTATTTTGAACACAAGTAAATTGATGGAGTCCTTGAATGCTATAGGTCCTTCACTTTGCAAAGGACAAACAAGGCCTCTAAGTGTCACCATGTTTATATCTTCCCTCTTATTTCCCAGATGTAAATGACTGTGCAAGACAGTCATCTGTTTTCATAGGCTTACCGAACACTGATCAACCTGAAATGCAGACACATCAGCGCAAGATTGTTCATAGGTTTGTAAATATTAAGGGTAGCAGTGGAAGTTTGACTTAAATTTCACAAAGCATAGAAAAGACTACTTGAATTGTGAAACACATACGTTACTTATGTCAGTTCACTTTAATCAAAGATGCTTATACAGAGACTGCAGTTCCATTAACAATTCATTGAGAAAAATATCCCCTGCAGACCCTGAAATTTTCTTCCAAGTAAATTTATGATGTAAACCAGGAGAGGGTAAATCAAGATGTACTGGTATATCTCTGGATAACTTGTACTAGGTGGGTAAGTGTTTTTGCTTCCCAGAGTAGTTGAGTAATAGCAAGCACAACTACAAGTTAAATCTGGCTGTGTTTCTGCCCCTTTCCTTTCAGCCTTAGTGTTCCTAACTATAAAATATGGATGTTAATTAGATTGACTTTGACCCAGGTTTTTGTGTAGCTTTCCTCATTTCTTAGAATTCATGATCTGCAATACATAGGATATAGATTAGTGGATGTATATGCAGGTTATCCCAAATAGGATTCTTGGAGTGCATCAAATAATAGGTGCCTTGCCCTGAACCTCCATTCTGCATCTGGCTTTCACTGATGGAACTCAGGGCTCTAGCAAAACCAAGGTAGTTTCCACAAGGCTGAAGTCTGCTGTACATCATGTGAAACACAAATCCATTGGTAAAAATAGGAGTGGGCAATTTGTGACCCTGCAGGTACTTCAGCCTACAAGTTGTCCATTAAGTTTCAAAAGCTGTGGTCTCCTAGCAGATTCCACCATGGGGAACTTCTCAAAGGAATCCTGACCTGATGTGGTGAACAGTGGAAAGGAACATTAGGCACACCCAGAGACAGAGAGAAAGGGATTGGCCCATTTCACTGCTGAAAGTGAAATATCTCTTTGTCAAAAGAAAGAAAGCAGACCTTGGTAATTTAATGGTGCATGAGTGGCTAATGCACATTTAAAAGTTTCCCCTGATCCATGGTCGTTTTTCTGAATGAGATTATCTCATGTTTTTCTAATTGTCTGCATATAAGACTGATGGTAGTCCATAGCATCTGTCTGCTACTAAAGCAAAGAGAGAGAAAGAAAAGACTAATCATGCCTCCTGCTCCCACATGAAGATTAAATGACACTTCCCTCACACCACCACGACTGCCTGCTCCTGCTCTTCCATCAGTAAGAATTGTCATTTGAATAATAATACTATGGCCTCCATTAAGATGACAGTGGCGAAAAAAATCAGCTAAAACCCTGTGATTATGCCTCCAATCTAATAATTATTTAAATACCAGATAATGCCTTTCAGACTAATTGAGGCCTTTCAGCTGCGTGCATTCGATTGCATTGCTGCATTTACTACATCTCAGCTGCCTTTACCAAATGGATCCAAATTGCTTTTAAAGTTGCATTTATAGGCTACATAAATTATATAGCACTCTCCCCCTCCACCACTGCTCAACACACCCTACAAAGTGGTTGAACAGTAAAAATGATTTCAGTTAACTTGTTTGTATTAACCTGTTTACAAAATAAGGGGATGGAGGGAAAATAGGGTGCATAGTGCACATACAGTGGGTTAAGTATAACTGTGGAAGAAGAGAAACATACCTAATGTCAAGCTGAGAAGGAAAATCAAGAACTGCAAGTACCACATTGGCACTAAAGATTGCATGGTGTGACTACCTTCCGAATCTGCTTTACTGGCTTGTTGTAATAGTTGATTGTTGCTATTACTGAGTACAGTGGTACTTCAGCTCACGAATGCCTCAGTTCATGACCAAGTAGGGTCGTAAACAGAAATTTCAGAGAAAAATTGCCTCAGTTTGCGAACTCCGCATTGGGTGACAACCACAATCATGCCCATCTCCCCCTACATGATCACGCCTGTGATCACACCCATCTTCCCCCCCCCCGACATCTCCCCCACAAGCCTGCCCATGATCGCAGCCATCTCCCCCACCCCCCACCAGCATGATTACTATCGCACGATTACAGTTTGGACTCTCCCTCCAAACAATAACCTCCCCCCCACACCTAGGTTAGTGTTCTCTACTGTACTGTACTTTATTACTTTGTTTCAAATTTTTGTGATTAAAAAATATATATTTACAGAATGCATTAACCTTTTTACATTGAACCTTATGGGGAAATTTGACTGGGGTCATGACAAAATTGGGTCAGGACCAGAGTGTGGAACGGATTAAGTTCATGAGCCAAGGTACCACTGTATTGTTTTGCATCTTTACTTATTTTTGGCTGCCTTCAGCAGTTCATAGTAATGAAATGTGGAGGGTACAGTTTGATAAATAATAAAAATAAAGCAAGCAAGCTGTTCCCAGAAGTGATGTTTCACAGAGAGAGGGTGGCCATCAAGGTACTAGGCAGTGGAAACAAGAAAGCAGTTCTTCAAGGTGACCTCCAGATGTTTTGGACTACAGTTCCTAACCACTGACTATAGGAGCTGAGGCAATTGGAAGATGAAGTCCTAAGTATCTGGATGATGGAGGACTGCTGTGATGTGATCAGGGCTGAATCCTACTGGTGAGTCTACTCCCACCAGTCTTATTTATGTAAATGAGAATTTTGTACAATCATCATCACCTGCACGTTGGGCTTATCTTTTTATTAGATGATGCAATTGCCTTGCATGAAATTATGTATTAATAGATATGAACAATGGCAGATAGCCTTTTATTGTTTTACTGGAATATTAATTATGAACAATTCACTGGACTAGATCCTGCCGCTTAGAGCTGTAGTTGGGAACATGTGGCCCTCCAGCTGGAGTTGGACAGCAATTCCCATGAGCCCTAGCCAGCATAGTTGAGCGTGACACAATTCAAGTCCAGTAGTAGCCAGAAGGTCACATGTTCCCCATCCCTGCGTTTAGAGACTTTGGTTAGCAGTTCCATATCCTAGTTCTCTTGACAGAATCCCCTGCCCCCAAACCAAGCTTAACTGTCAAGAGAGTTGTGAAAATAATTGATTAGAAATATACTGGAACCAAGGAGTTGCTTTTAGAATTAAAAAATGCATGCATTTCTTTGTTTTTGTGACTTTTTTGAGTCTTTATATTAAGTCCAGATGTTTACAATGCTCTTGGTGATTGATTGATATTTATGTATTTACATTTTAGATTTCCCCTGATGAAGAGTTTATTCAGGCTTGAAATACTTTGGGTCTCCTAGTTCTTGTTTCTTTGTTTTAATACACTCAGACATGAGACCCACTGATTGTGATATGGACAATTTTTCAAGTAAGTGGATTTAGGATCTCAGCCTTTGTCAGAATTTCTTTTCGTTTTTTTAGTATAGAGTTTTTCCTCCCTGCTACAAAGGCAAAACAAGTTACCTTGCCATGTATTTTTCTCTTAACACACACACACACACACACACACACACACGTACATGGTGTGTGTGTGCATGCATGTAAATGCATGCATACTCAATACACACTTTCTCTCTTGGTATCTCCCCCCAACCCCACTGTCACTTTATCAGAGAACAAAATGGTTCTCTTGTTCTGGTCACTGGTGTTTATTAAGGGTTATCGGACTCCCTTTGTCCACTTGAACAACAGGCAGCAGTGTCAAGGGTCTTCCTTAGAGCAGAAGCACTCGAGTCACTTAATTTTGCTCTTTGGAAGTGATATGACTCCAGAAAAGGAGAATTTTATTTTGTAAAAGTTGGCTCAGAAAATTAATGAGAGGAAACCTGTGAGCGAAATTGAACTGAAAGGTGAGCCTATAACCCTTTCCTACCAGTCCCATTCTCTTTCCTTCCTCTAATTCATGCTCACCTCACGGTAACTCTGCAGCTCCATGGCTGCAGTCTTTCTCCTCATAATAGGAACTGTACTGTACTTTCCCTTTCATTAACGCTGAGACAGGTACAATAACTGCAAATGAAAAGGCCTCTGAAAGAGAAGGAGCAATCACTTAGCTGAACTGGCTGCCTGTTACGGTTGCCCTTACCCCTTTCCTCTCTTGTCACTGACCCCTAGGAGTGCCTTAGTTACCTGGAAAAAACACCTGTCTCTCCCTAGTTTCCCCTATCAGGGAGAAATGTTAACAAGCTGAAGGTGACTCTCTTCAGTGGCACTTGCTTATCAGCCCTTGGTTTTGACAGGGCTTAATGCTTCATAAATTGTTTTGTTTTAAAATGGGAAACGAGTATAAAACTGGATGACTTGCAGACTTCTCCTTGAGCCTTTCATGTATCTAATGCACATCTGAGGCTTCTTCCTTATTTAGGGAGTAAGCCCCTCAGAATGAATGGGGCAACTTAGCTGATACTTGGGGTAACCCTCCCCTCTGCAGCCTGTGCTGTTATTCCCATGGTAATAAAGAACTGGATTACTATTAATAGTCTTCTAAAATATTGGTTCAGTAGAGCTATCTCAGATTAACAGGAAGTAGTAGGTATATCGTAGAAATACTGTCCTATACAGAGTGGTTTATTGTTAGAAAGATGCCTTCCACAGCTGCTTCCCTTTAGATGTGTTGGGCAGTACTAGATACTCACTGAAACTGCTAAGACCTGTTGTCCAAGGCATCTGGAGCACACTAGGTTGGGGAAGGCTCCTGTAATGCTTTAAGGATGAAGGGCATAGCTGAGGTGTTTGGATTTAACTCGGATTCAGAGAAAGACAGATGCATGGCAAGGCAGCTTTGAAACCAGCCCAGAACCTTACAACATGCTATGGTTTCTTGACTGGTTTCAGAACCACCCCATCACATACTTTGCCAAGTTGGACAACAAGGGAAGCTGCATGCCATGAGGGTAATTAAGGAAATTACGCAGTGTGTGATCTGCTTGTAGGAGGAGGGAAAAGACCACTATGGGTTTTAAGAAAAGCACCAGTGAACTATATCTGAATACCACTAATTAAAGAGAACTGTTTTGCTGGACTACATAGTCTACACATGTGAAAGGGGCTCACAAGAATACCTGTTGAAATCACTGCACCAGAATACAAAGGAGTAATCCCTCCTTGTGCCTTTGTACTATATAGTGCTGAGGCTTAAGCTTCATGCTGCATAAGTGCTTGGTATGAAGCTACTCCTTGTTGGGTTGTTTTTAATAACCCAGATAACTGCACCAGGAACTAATCTGGGTCAGATCCAGGACACAAAGCCAGGGAAGCTACTTTCCTCCCCTTCCTTTTCTGAAACATGCCCTCCCAGCAACAGTTTTTATAAGTAAAATCTCCTGACAGGGGGACAGTGCACTTGAAGTGGGAAGGATTAAACCTTTACTCCAGGAGCACAATTGTGCTGATCTGGATTGGGAGCCCCACATGTAATTTGATGCTTGAAAAAAAGAAAAAGGTGTGCAGCTGTATGCTGCATAATTAACATGTGTAGTTTAACCCTCAGGTGTAGCCTCTTTCAGGGCAGAGATTTTGTACTGCATGCCAAGACAATCTGATTTTTCTTTGGAAATTCTGCTAATTGAGGCACTTGTGTTCTCTGTAGCAGATGAATTGGTTGTGCTCATTTGTGGATTGCAATCTTGTGAATTAGAGAAGTGTCACCTCTGATTTAAAGGTGAGGAACTCAGATAAAGAAGCAATATTTCTAAGCAACCCAGAAGTTTTTGAGACTGAGTAAAATGTTTGCAGGCACAGTATATGATTACAATGTTCAATGTACTTCAAATGTATTATCCTGACATTAGATAAGAGTACATAGCTACCTATATTCATGGATGGGCTAATTTTTGAATCAAGAACTTCTTAGCCCTCAGCACTACTATATTACACCACTTCTTCTTCTGCAGACTAAGTATGGAATTATTATTATTTTATTCTTACACAAGTAATTAATGCTTCAGTAGAGAGTTAGACAGGCCTTTTGTTAGCATACACTGGTGCTAATGCCTCTGCTCCCTCTTCTATACTGGGCAGCCCTATCTAGAATGTTACCATGTTACGCTTCTCAGAACTCCATAGAGTAGCATAGCATCATTCCAGGGCATTGTGGGACATTTAAAGTGGAGGTTTCCCAGATGCCCATCACTATTGCTAGGTAATCAGAGGGGAGTTACAGTCATAGAAGGGAAAGCCTGCTTGGTGAGAACTTCCTCAGCCCTGTGACTGCATCTGGTTTTACAAACACATTAATTCTCACTGAAACTATAGTGAGAGTTATATATATTCTAGCTTAGGGTTCTTCATGCCCAAAGCATAGTGTGGGCAGAGCAGGGGTTGCTCTGAGGAGCTCAGCTGGGGATAAGGAACTATTATGGAGCTATTAACAAGGCCAAGCTCCAGAAGGCATTGGGAGATTAACTGTTCCCTGCCAGCTGCTCCTCTTCCTGGTCATCTGCTCAGTCATTATTTGCAGCTAGATCTTCTCTGTCTCCCAGGTAGAGCCTCCTAGTAGCTGAACTGGCACTTCTATGCCAATTTTGAGCTTCCCAACAGGTTCACTGCTTCCTTCACACCTGAGTTACCCTTCACACCCTGTAGGGTCCTCTGTGAGAAGGAAGTCTGCTCAGGATGAGATCATGATAATATATCTAGACCTATATACTGAAATAGTACAAAAGTTTAGTAATTCAATGAGAACTCAGTCAATGTGGCAGCAGTTCAAAGATGTGGACAAATTCACGGTATCTTCAAATGTTGTTTTTCCCAGAGTAACAGGAAGCTTTAAATCTTTGCTGCATTCCATTATTGCTTAATGGCCAACTTACTTTCTGCTTCCATGAAGCTGAACATGTCTCTCTTAGACTGCTTCTTAACCTGCTTTGCATCAGATATGCTGAGTCATGAAAACAGGTTACTACAGAAGGTGATCTTTATCTCAAAGCACTAAATCCTGGATTGTAGCTTCCTGCATGGTACTTCAGTTCATCTTTCCTGTGCTCTTACCCTGAGGGGTAGCTCTAGGCTACAGGTTTGCATTTGGCTAGGTTCTGCAGAAAACAGTGAAATTGGGCTTCCTTGCTCCATTTTCTCTTAGAAGGCAAAATAAACTAATAGGTGTTCTTCTAATGCAGCTCATTTACATTCAAGCTCTATTGTGCTTAATTTTTAAAACAAAGGGTGACAGGGCTCAGGCCCTGCCTTATTAAAAAGAGTATCTTAGAGCTAGAAAAGATATGGCCATTTTCCTATAAGAAAAGGAGAAAGCAGATGGAATGTTTAGCCTGGAAATAATAGCAGCTAATAGCAAAATCCTATGCTTGTGTACTTAACTCCTATTTAATTCAATGGACTTGACAGTAAAAAAAATGTGCCCAGGATTTTAGCCTAATTACACAAATACACACACATACACTTCTCAGCGGTTGGACTTATTTCTGTACTTCTAAAGTACAGAAGACCATAAGACAGGGAACCTGAGGCACCCAAAGGAATGTATCTTTTTGTAATTCACACAGAAAACTGGAACCAGGAATAGAACTGCTTTTGTGTAAAATAAAATATTACAGATTTCAAGGCTGAAGTGGTTATGGTAACAACAATCATAGAACAAAGCTTTTGATTTCTGAAGCTTCCCTGACTTTACAGTTCCATTTAGCTGGAACTTACTTTATTGCTTTAAAAACCAGCCCTCAGGTATATGAAATCATATTGGAAGTGTTACTTGGATAACAAGGCCTTTAAAGCATTTTCACAGGATTAAGTTAAAAGAAGTTCTGATTCTAGCTTAGCAGCCACTGTCCTATAAAACTATTTTGTAGCTGCATTCTGCAGCATTTCATGTAAGTGGGGACTTCTTATGTGGAAAGGAACTACGAAGCGCAAAGCATTTCATCTCTTCTCATGGTGTTTTTTTCCTTACATAGCTTGAGGAAGGGGGTGGTTTTGGGGAAGGAAAATACACATGGCTTTTAATAACTTTGTAGCCCGGAAGGGTGGATAAAAGGCTCTCTGATGTAAGCCTTCATCACACAACCAGCGCTTTTCTAAGGCAAGCCTCCCATTTCCTAAGGAAATCCCAACCTTAGGACACCTGACTTTGTTCATAATGTTCTTATGTTTAAATGAGAGAAGGGAGCAGGCAGGTAGGACAATGAATACCCAAAAGGTTCTTCTCTAGCCCTTTGCTTCCTGATTGATTTCATTCTATTTAGCATTATTTCATATTTTGATACTCACATTACCAACTGCTAGCTGTTTGCTCCCTCCTCAGCCAACCTGTGCCAAACAGGTCAATGAACTTGCAGGATCTGAATCAGAGCTTGCAGGATCTGAATCACTGACAAGCCTGTAAAAGCTTGTGGAAAATCTAAACCTATTCATGCA